TATTGTTTACATAATGAAGTAAAAGCATGTTTGAAAATAAACTTTAAGTGCAAGCGCGTGAGCCGATCTTAAGCTTTCTCAAGCCATGCACGATCTCAAATAAATCAAGGAAAACCGTTTTACATCGCCGATAGCTTCATTTTCGAGGAATTCGGAAATAAAAGCTAGCACCATAGCTGACTTAGTGACAGGTTTCGCATATGGTTTATGTCAGTGGGCGACAGGATCGGAAACTCACGCCCACGAACCGAAGCTCCGTCATAAAATTGGATAGCTTTTCTAAATCAGGAGCTCCGAAATCATGACCCCGTCGGGCAGCACACACCCCTATAGGCAATGTATAGGAGTTCCCCCCCCCCTTCCCCGGGGTCTGACAAAGCGTTTTAGCAAGGATCTTCGTTTTATAGATTCAGGGGGCTTTTTCTACAAAACGAAGACCCCATTGATTTCGCGTCAATTGGCGTCTGACAAAGCGTTTTAGTGAGGGTCTTCGTTTTATAGATTCAGGGGGTCTTTTCTACAAAACGAAGACCCCGTTGATTTCGCGTCAATTGGGGTCTAACAAAGCGTTTTAGTAAGGGTCTTCGTTTTGTAGATTCAGGGGTTCTTTTCTACAAAACGAAGATCCCCGTTATTTTCACATCTGTTTGCGCTGAGGAACGCTTTGGCTTGGTTTTTTAACTGTCCGTGCCTTATTCGGGCAAAAAAATTAGGGTCTTCGTTTTTCGGTCTTCGGTCTTCGGTCTTCGGTCTTCGGTCTTTGGTCTTCGGTCTTCGTTTTGTAGACACCCGTTAGCGAGTGCTAAGTAATTTCATGACGAATATTATGGCCGCCATCTTTGATTTTCATGGCAGCGGAAGGCTGGGGAGAGGAAAAATTTAATTTATAATTGAAGATTTAATTTATACCAAGGGGGCGGTCAAAAATAAGGAGAGGGGTGGGGGTAGGGGAGTGAAGATTAGACTGCCAGGAATTCAGCCTAAGTGAACCAGAAAGGATAGAAAACACTTCCCTATATTGACTATTAATGAAAAGTTAAGTATGCTATATATCCCAGAAGTGCTCAGGCATTATACTGAATGCCAGGACTTCAGCCTGGATGAACCAGAAAGGATAGACAACATTTTCCTATATTAACCACAAATGAAAAACTAAAACCCCATTTACACCACTGATTGTAACCTGTTTACACGGGTAACAATCAGGTTAGGCCTATGATTGAAAAGAGCTCAAGGGCCTGGTAATTTGTACACTGTTTACACTACTGATTCTCGGTGACCGGACCGGGTTTTTATTTGAGCCTTCAGTATCTTTCCTTATCGCTCAGTGGTAAATACACAAAAGGGTGCGCGAAGGAAAGAAACATGGCTTACATTATGGCTGGCACTCTTTTACCATTTCCTTTTATGAGGAAAGTGACTCCCTCTTCAGGGGAAAACTCTGCAGAAATATTGAACCGCTTTAGAAGAAAACGGAGAAGAAATGAGCCAATGCACTATCGAGAGAACCATATGGCAGCTTCCTAGAACAGGTGTTTGGTTTCAGCTTGTATTGAAAGAATTTTCAGACCAAGAATGGTACGAAAACTTTCGCTTGTCCAGGGCAACATTTCAATTTTTATTGAAGAACTTAATCCAGAACTGAAATCGCAAGATACAAAGATGAGAAAAGCTGTTGAAGTGGAATAGAAAGTGGGTCTGTTCTTGTACTTCATTACTTCAACTGCAAGTTACAGAACACTTTCTGACCTGTTTGGTTTATCCAGGGGCTTTGTTTACATTTGTATCCGCAAGGTAGCCGCTGCAGTGGTGAGAAAACTTAAGCCAAAGTATCTGTCCATTGCTAAAGGAGATGAACTCGCTCTTGTGATAGCTAATTATAAGGAGAAATGGGGTTTCCCATGTGTGCTGGAGCAATCGATGGCACACATATACCAATTTCAACACCATAGCAAAATCATGCGAGTTACAACAACAGGAAATGGTACCACAGTATTGTAATGCAAGCTCTTGCAGACAGTAATTACCTATTCCGCGATATTTTTGTAGGGTGGCCAGGAAGTGTATGTGACGCAAGGGTCTTGTCTAACTCACAACTGTACGCTCTGGGGTGTAGAGGGAGGTTATTTCCACCTGATATGAAAGAAGAAATTATGGGGAAGGAAATTCATCCTGTTATCTTACCAGTTCCAGCCTACCCCATGTTAAATTGGCTACTTAAAGGTTAGCCAGAGAATGTTAACTCCCCCATTAATTCTTGCTACAAACATTTTGAAAACTATGAAATTAAGGAGCTGTATTTACCTCTTCGTCTCAGCTTCTGAGGATTCACGGAGACTCACACACACTGTTTCAAATGACTTCTTCATTTTTGTTTTCATGGAACTTTTTGGCGTGGCACCTCTGATGTACTTAGATCTCTTCCTTTCAGAAATAATATCATCAGTGTCTGAGACAACATCACTTTCTTTCTCAGAATTCAGTTCTGAGCCATTTTCCGAGGTTTCTGTTCCTAGCAATAAAGATAATTATAACAGTAAATAACAGTAAATGAGTATGTTGCAGTTAATTTTTGTTTCCAGTTAAATTTTTTTTTCTTTATTTAAAACTCATTATCATACATCACATACCTAAAAAACAACGGAAAAATGAAATTTAACTGAAACAAAAAAGTAACTCCAACATGTACATGCACCACACAATCTGAAAACCTCTAGTTAACTCTCCTTCCCATCCTCATTATTTTTCTTCAACTGGCAGGTTATCTAGTAAAGATACACGGATTATATTCATTTGGTGTATGATCTGAAAACTAACAGAGATAAAATGAAATTCATAAAACTTGTTCTGATTGATAATCTAAAAACACAACAGCAACCTTCCTTTGTCAGCCAGTGCTTCCAAGCCCATCTGACTGGAGGTGGCGGAAGCTCAACGACTCATGGTCACCATTCTGAACAGCTCTACCGCAAGCAAAGAATCTTGCCACGGACTCATTCGATGCGGATACAGAGCCTCATGTAGAGGACGATGCAAGTGCTTAAAGGCTAATTTGGCATGCAACGGTTTGTGAAACTGTGGCGGCATGTTCTAACAGCCACAAATATTTACAACGGTGTCACTAACGATTAGAGTAGATCGACTAAGAATTAGGCATTGCATCATTTTGGTTAGGTAGGAGAACATTTTAGGATTTCACCTAAAGCGCCGTTCAGAGAAGTGTAGCAGAACAATTTACCACAGGCATCCCAAATCTGTTAACCAAAAATTATTTATAATAGCTCGTTAATGACTGAAGTAACGGAAGAGAATGTCAAATCAAGAAAAGACATGAGCTTGATGTTTCTAAGATAACCAAGTTTTAACAATAGTGATTCAGAAAATAATGTAGACAGGTATATTTAACGTTTGACCACAGGATACCCAAACATTATGATAAATAATCAAAGAGGATAGTACCGTAATGGCATAAGATGAATACGAATGGATAGAAAATGACTTGGTGGTTATGTTTGAAGGCTTTTGTCGCAAATTTCCCTAAGCAATGTCGTTTATTAAGGGAATTTTTTTTATTCTTAGCCTCGTTAGCGAATTTCTGACATGCGTGGTTCTCGTCACCGAAAGATAATTTGGATTGGCCCTCTGTCAGAAAATATTAGTCTTGGGGTCATAAGTGTTGTGGCAAAGTTTCATGCTTTTATCATTAATTTGAACAATTCAGTGTTTTTTTTGGTCGATAACAGCTGGACTACACTAGGAGGCACAAGCCTATTTTTTGCTACCCACGGTATTCCTTAGTTGCTGCCAAAATAATTTCCGTTACCAACACAGAGTAAAAGCTATAGAATGTTCAAGATCATCTAGAACCCAGCGTTTGCTTTAGGACTGCCCACCCTGCACATCATTTCCTCTTCGGGTCTTTTTTACTCGTGCGTTATTAAGGAAAATTCGCCTCAAAAGATAAACGGGAAATTTGATCAACTAATAGATTCTCGAGTTTCCTGTAGACATATTTAAAATTTCTAATCAAATTCACAATATCTCTGACCAGGAGCATCATCTGGTTTTTGTGTTTTGCTTAAATAAATATGTTTGTAGAGTGATAATTATTTTTGTATTTCACCTGTGCGCCTCCGTGGCTAACACTTTTCATTACGATTTTTGGCATGTTTATGCTACTAGAATTGTTTTTTTGGCTGAAAACGTTTCGATGCATCTTATACCCAGAAAGTTCGATCAGAAATTGTACTCGCCGTGGTGTATTTTTTCCCAACATCTTGGGGCTTTCAGCTCTAGGACCAATCACAGCGAAAAAATCAGACGATAATTTAAAGATTCGATACACTGCAGGAATAAAGTTTAATGAAACTGTGAATTAACTACTTTGCTCTAACTATTTTTAGCAAATTACGCTAAAAGAAACGGGTACCACATGTACTAAAACATCAACCTGTAACCAATAGAATCCGGGTCTGTTTTAAGGTTTTCCACTCTTTAACCAGCTACAAAAGTACACAAGATCAATTGGTTCAGTGTTCAAAGAGGTGGAATTTAAATGTTCCATGCTCTAAGAGCAAGACATTGTCTCTGCTAGATAATTTTGAGCTCGATGATCCATCAATGCCGATGAATATTCGAATCGTTTTAGTCATTTCTAGTCTAAAACAATGAAGTTTTGAGGTGAAGAACGATGGCTTTCGAGGGACCTAACACTGCTGTTTCTGTTGCATAAAAGCCAAGTGGCAATTAATCACAATTCATCTTTTTTTTCGGAAATATTTCAAAACTGTGTTTGATATAGCTGAGGTCGTTAATATTTCATTAAAAAACGTCTTAAATATCCTTGTATATTGAAGTATAAGAGATTTGGGGATATCTACATATCTCTTTAAGAGTTTAAATGTGTAGTTACTGTATATTTAGGGCTTTTTCACGACCACAAAGATTTCTCCAAGGTGAAACAAGCGTGGTTTACGGACTTAAAACAACAAAGGATAGTTTTATTGCACCAATATGTACCCCATGGCTTTTATACTCTTGCGTCCTTTGCGTGCCTTGTTTCCACAAGATTTGGCGTCATTAGGGGGACTTCTTATTCCAAATCCAATCAAAGAGTTGCACGAGTGGCACTCGTTCTGGTCATTGCTAACAATACCAATTCTGACTTTAGAACGATAACTTGTACCACAAAAGGCATTGAATCCTTCCTTGTTACAGTTGTGATCTAAAGAGGCGTTGCTGCCAATCAACTTTTTCCACTCGTCACGACCTAGCGACGTGTTTCGGTATTGGCCATCAGCAATTATCGAGTGCAGAGAGTCAGCCAGCCTGTTGATAACAATAAATCTGAGCTGTTGGTTGATCTTCATTCCAAGACAGATCTTGGAGAAGGATGTGTTCCAGTAGGTGGGTAGCTTTGATTCTTGTTCGTCAAACCCAGTCTCTCCACCGCGAAGGTTGAATTCATCGTAATTATTCCAATAACATGCACGATAACGGAAGGTGGTCTGAAATAGAGAAGCAATTAATTTTAAAAATTTTTTTCTCCGAATTGATGGGTTTTCTGCTGTCGACTTCCTGTAGTGTATCTGCTTTTAACCGAATTATGATCTCGATGGTTTATATTTCTTATCTAGCTGCTTCATGATACTAGAGACAAATATGTTAAGATAATTAAGACAATCTTTTTAAGTCACTACACACAACAAGTCTTGAAATTTACGTTGAACAACGTCTGTTCTTCGCGCATTATCTTCTCGATGAAAAATAAAAGGCATACGTATGTAACACGCAGGTTTTTAACTTGCAACGTTTTGAAAGAGAGCGCGTTTATACACGAGATGAATTATCTAATAAAAGTAAGCACCTCTCTGCAGTCAATCTTCATGACTGGCGTCCATCCTCCATCTCCACACCCAAAATTTCCCATGTGACAGAAAACGGACAATGGTTGGGAATCAACAAGAAGGGTAACCACACCGCTCACATTGGATCTTTTAAATCAAAATGAAAAAAAAAAAAAAAAAAAAAAAGGAAATACAACAAATAATAAAAACAATGATGGTGAAATAAGACTTGAGATTATAAGAAATAATTATCATAGCTACAACGGTGTGGCAATGAAAATGACAATGGGAAAGATAATGGGTGATAATAATAATAATAATAATAGTAATAATAATAATGATTTAACAAATAGGCTAATGAAAAGTTGATCCTTCAGACGTCGATATCTGCAGAACAAAAACAGCAGCCTTCATAACAACAATGCTCGGTTATTTGTCCTGGAATCAAACAGGTTTTCGAGTGCAAAAGATATTTTTTACCTCTTCCCTGAGGAGAGTAATGCACTCCACTAAAATGGATCGAGGTTTAAAGGAGGACTTTCTCTACATATGGAATGTGGCTTGAAAATTGGGGTATATTCGGTGACGTGATGAGCTGAAACTAATTGCCGGCAAGTGGAATGTTTGATGTACTCTGAAAATAATATCGAATATCAATCTTACTTACAAGTAATGAATTTCTTTACACGAGGAAGCTCCTGCAAGAAGTTTAAAAATACCTTTTATTAGAGGAAATTGTGAACTTTTTTTAGGTACATCTTAGTCCATCATTGGGAAACAATATTGACTGCAATCTGACTGATTGGCAGAAGAATTTTATTATGTTCCATGCTCTATTTTTTGGTTGGAAAGAGTTTTCAGTTTTCATTCACTTTACTTGGCAGCATCTATGCTTTCTTCAAATACATCATTGATAAGAAACAGCGTCGGGAGAGGATCGATTTTTGTTAGAAATTAGTAGATGAGGTTGAGTATGATATCTTCAATTATCAAACCCATGATCTGAGTGGTCTTTTGAAGTCAAAGGACGAGGGAGATCACGCAGACACAGACATAAGGTTTAATGAATCGTGTTTTCATGCGGAAACCGAATTCAATAATTTTCTCATTACAAGGATTTTTAAAAAATCTGAGTTTGCAAACGTTTTAAAACACTACACAGAAGAGGGACTTAGAAACATATAAGGGTTATGAGGCTCAGTAGAAGAGCAGTAGTATCGCCATTGTATCAAAATTCGTAGTTAGACTTTTCACTAGCTGATTTTCCTCTATATTTCGACCCCAGTGTTTACCTTTACATTCTCTTCCATTTCCAGTGAATCCAGGTCTACATGTACAGTTGTAAGACCCTTTGATATTGGTGCAAAACCCATCAGAGCTGCATTTGTGTGGCCCACGAACACATTCGTCGATGTCTGAACAAAAAATACACGAATAAATAAAAACAAATTATCGTATAGAAAAAAAAAACATAGAAGCACCAACAGCTGTAAAACCAACAATAATTAGGTAAGCCTCCTTTACATACTGTTCTTAATATCACGGTAAACGTAGTTTTTGTTTTATCAGAAAGTTCGAAATTAGAAAATCCGCCTCCTTTGCTCAACATTCTCAAAAGTAACACATACCCTCGCATTCTCTTCCACTCCCAGTGAATCCAGGTTTACATGTACAGTTGTAAGACCCTTTGGTATTGTTGCAATAGGCATCAGGGCTGCAAGAGTGTGACCCTCCGACACACTCATCGATGTCTATAGATATAAAGCCGACAAAAAATTGACGAAAATGTATAAAAGATTTAAAAGGTCAGCAGCATTACTTGATATTCGTATTTGATTTGCACAGCATTAATATTTGTTGTTGAGAACATCAAATAGGTTTCTGTAGCCATACGACAGTCTGTCCGGCAACAAAGGATGAATGAAACCAACAAACAGTGATGAGCAAATTGATTCCAATTGATTTAAAAACACTTTGGTGATCAAGAATAAAATTTTTCAATGTGGTTTCGTCCATATATATCTCTGTCCGCGTTCAGTTTCACTACACATTTTCTTGCTGAGAGGATCGAGATGTAAGTTACTATCCCTTTGTGGATAATTTGCAAATATAAGCTGAATTTTTTTCATCACATAATTTTTAATAGATCAAACAACTACCTTTACATTCTTGTCCATTTCCCGTGAATCCATGTTTGCATGTGCAATTGTATGACCCTTTCGTATCGTTGCAAAACGCATTAGAGCTGCATTTGTGTAGCCCACGAACACATTCGTTTATGTCTGAACAAAAAAATACACAAATAAATGGGTAGGCCTTCTTCAAATACTTTTCTTATTAGGGTAAACGTAGTTTTTGTTTTCTCGTGATCGCTACACATCATTTTTGCTTTTTACAGACTGAAAAAAAAATGTATTCAAAATGAATCGATCAACAGCCACCTCGTAAGTCACAAGCAGTACTTATGAGCCGCGAAACAGTCATATATTCCCCCTTTTTTAATCCGGAAAGTTCTACTTTTTGCTAGTGGTTCATGTATTTTACCATTGTTTCTGTCCACTTTCAGTGCAGCTCAGAAGAAGATATGTGAAGACGAATAAGGAGAAGGGAGATGACGAGAAGGAACAGACATAAAACCAAAAATTCGCTATAGAGTTGTGTTGTTGAAGAAAATGCGACATAGGCCTGTTGTCCTTCGGTTCTTACTGACTAGTAAGAGAGCTTTAAGCTACATGAGAAAAGAAGAAGCTCTTTTATTCTTCAAGACCCAATTGACAAGGAACGCGGTAAATGTTTTCCTTGTTGTTAAACTAAAGGCCTCAAGTTATCAACATTGGAGTTGTGTTTACCTCTTTCGCAAATTGGACCCTCAAATCCAGCGGTACAAAGGCACCGATAACCTTTCTTAGTAAATCCGCTTTGGCAAGTAGCATTGTTCTTACAAGGATTTTGAACACAATTGCTCTGACAGAAAAAACAAACCGTTGTCATTGTCATTATCATCATTATAATCATATTCAACATCTAATAGTCAACCGCACCGCTACCATCATCAATATTGTCATCGTTATCCTTGTCATCATAGTTGTCCTTCTATTTCTATATTTTTCCAAAAACTTTGAAATGCTTTGTCTTTGAAGAGATTTTGGTGAAGAGCACAGACACAGTATTACCGCTAATGTCTTGAAAGAGTGAAAACAACTCAAGTTCGTAATTTAAGGTCAACATGAGACTAAGAGGTTTGAAAAGAAAAACAAAATAAACCAATCTGAATCTTAAATTGAAAGTTATATTTACCTCAGCTGCGCGATAAGAATACATCTCTTGGTCTATCAACTTTTCTTCGTGTCCTTCATGAGTAGCATTGTTCAGTTCACATTTATAGTTTCCATTTCCATCTGCCCGGGTATAGAGATTAATGCTGACGCAGTCGGGCTCCATATAACACAAGTTTTCACAGAACCTGGAAACTGTTATTTCTACGGTGCGAATCATGTGGTTTACGAGGCGTTTCCCTTCAAATGCTTTCTCAGGTCCAAACTCCAAATTGCGACACTGGTCTGCGATGCAGACGTCTTTGAAATGGAAATAATAAATACGTTAAACGTGACATTGTTGCTTTTGATGATGTTAAGAATTATGGAAAATGTGGTAAGTGACATTTCATTATCAATTGTGTTAGACTTGAATTTTTTTTTCGACTATTTTATTTCTATTTTGTAAAAAGTGTTTAAAAGGAAAGAGATATACAAACCCTCGACAGTGTCTCTGGTTTGCATAACTTTCTCCCAAGTCTCTCAAATTTTAACATTTCTTCAGTAAATATACGTGTATAAAGCTAATTTTCTGACCTAATGATGAATTCTTCTGATTTGAATATAACGTTTCCCAAAAAGTAACGATAACTTAAACAAAAGAAAACATGAATTGGATATGAGTAATACTGAAACTAACCTTGTGACCTGACAGCCTTGGGTATCATAAAGCAGAGTTCCAATAAAATAAGGGAGATAGAAACAGAATACATGATACGGAACACGATTAGAAAAGGCCTGGCCCTTAAAACGTATGCCTGAAACAGTAGAAATTTGGCTGTCACCGGTAAAACTATTGGCTGTCAAACTGTTTCGTATGTCAACTGTTCTGTCTTAGTTTATACACGTACAAACATTTGCTTAGAATGCTGCTCGGTTCAGCAATAATTTGCCTGTCAATTGCCATAATAAAGTTTTGTCACATTATTCTGTAGTCTGACATGCTATCATAAAAAAACTGATAAATAACAGTTATAATTATGCAGCCGTGTTACACGTCAGCCAATTCACTTCCACGACACTTTTCATATCCATACTGTCGTATGGTCGTCAGTAAACGGTAAATGGAATTTCCTAAATGATACGCACACTGATGTTCAAACCGTTTGTGCTGAATTAAGATAAAATGGACCTGAAAGAATTTTTTTTAACGAGGTGGTCTCAAAAAATATTATGAGGCATAGGCTACCCGACTTTCCCACAATTTTATATTCAAAACAAAATCGAGCAGACATTTAGACCGGAAAAGCTTGCAAAATTTCTGTATCACAATATAATAGACTAAATTGATTCTTCGTTGAAAATCTGCGTGTTAAAGAAATGGAAAGATGTAAACCTAACTTGTGAAAATGAAGAATTTATTTGATGACCTCCTAATTTTTCACTTCTACACACACACAACAGCTGGCATTTTGAATCTTTGTTAAATTATCATACAACAATTGTTTATTTTGGTGCTGGTAAGAATTTCCTGTGTGTCATTATATTCATTCTCCATAATTTTCAGCTACTGTTTAACAAATAGAGAAGCCTTGACTACGCTCTGTTTTATTATTAAGCGTGCAGGAAGCGGCTAGAGCATGGAAAAAGTGTAGGTAGAAACACGAGACGTAGACGTCCCAGTTCTTGAGACTTAAGCCGCTTCTTAAGTATTTTACAACAGAACAGAGCTGGTCAAGGCTTCTCTATTTATTTTATGATAAAGAATCCGCTTAATTCCCCACGTATTACAATTAGTCAAAACAAAGTTTATCTCAAAAGCGAACAACAGTGTCGTCAGCATGCTCTCTGCTCTCATTAAGCACGCTACAATAAGCCAATCAGAATCCTTTTTTAGAGTAGTTCAAATAATCTGATTAGTCGACCAAGCAAATTAATGCAGCTGTTGGGCGTAGAACTGACAGGTGATAACCGTCAGTCGTTAACAAAGCTAACTGAAAAAGTTCGATGTTTTAGACTTGGCGGAAAGAATTAAATGGTAGCCTTAACAAAGCAAAAATTTTTACCATTAGTTATAAAAGCCATCACCCAACTGAGACCTACTAGTAAACAGTTATATATTATCGTGGAAATTAAAAATATCTTACCCGAAAAACAGTTGTTCCCGAGTTATAATATGGAAATCAAAGGGAAATTGGAAGACGTTATCGATGATTTACGGGAGAAACTATGGTGGTCATCCGTTAAGAGTGGGAACTCCAGACATATAAGACTGGAGTCAATTTCCAGTACTTACTCTTACATGTACAGCATTTCCACTCATTCGTGCGACGAACTATTTGATAGTATTCTGCTGAACGTGTTTTGACTAGCTTGTTTTAAATGTAAACAATAATATCTTAAACGACTTTGAATATATGAAAATCATTATTGTGTAGTTACAGTTAGGGGAAACTATTCCACGTGTTACTACATGCGCCTATTTTAGTAAATTAAATATAGAACCAGGCACAAATTTAACTAGCTTCTTCTCTATCTTTTGATGCAATCGACACCACGTTGATTTGCTCAACTACGTTGGACGTTCAACGTCTATGCTACTACACTGAAAATGTTGATGCAATTTCGAGGAAAACAGCTCTGAACAAGCGGCTGCTTTAATTTTGGCATGAACCTACCCGCTCTGTTTGTAAACCAGCATCGCTATGTTCGAAGGTAAACAAGAAATCTAATGCTTTTAAAGACCATTCAGGTATTTTCATATTGAGAGGCGATTTTTCCCTTCTGCGGGCTTCATATTACAATCAATAAACATGGTATTCTAAACAGCTTTTAATCTGAGGCACATTGAGGAAAGTTGAAAGATCTAGAATTCCCTATAAGAGGCCCAGGGTCTCAATGGGCTGATTGTTAAAAGAAAAACGGCAAAACAAATTAGCCGTTAGACGAAAATACTGACAAATTTTAACCATAAGTGTTACAAAAGAAAAAATTACCCGTTAGCATCTTTTAATTGCAACGGAGCTGATAGCCGTAAAACAACATAAATGAGAAAGACAGAGTGAGGACAACGAGAATTATGGTAAATTATCATAGCTCTTATTAAGAAACTATGATAAAAAGAAAGGAATGAACAAATTGAAATATGGACGAGAATATTGATGAAAAATGACATTCAATAGACAGTGCAAACAAAGTTTTGTTTAAAACAGTAGCCCAAGATAGTGCATGGAAATGCGACTTATAAATACTTTTTCTCAACGCATACTGCTATGAAGATATTCCGGTGAAATTTTTGTACAATGTGACTGATGTAAGATTGCAGAAACTGATTGAAATTTACTTTACATTCAAACGGTATAAATGATTGTATCAAAATAAAAAGTGGTTTTATGTACAAATTATCTAATCGCTTGGAGATTTAATGGTTTTGGAATAAATTGAGACAGCTTGAATAATCTTCGTCATGACGTTTTGGGAAGAACGGCAGATGGAAAAACGTTGTGCGTGCTTTTGGCTTTCGTTTCTACTTGTAGAAAGGCCCGCCTCATCTAGGGCGGAAGGGATCTAGAAGTTTTAAGGGAACAAGGAAAAAATCTAAGAAAAACTTGAATAAAACAAAGGGTGTGATAAAACATTTACCTGGAGAACAGTTAGCTGCTGGGAAGATAAAAGGCAAGAGAACGGAAATGAGATAGCGCTTGAAATCAGCGGACATGATGGATAGGTAAGGCACTTGGTGAAGTTTAGCTTTGCTTGCGCTTTCAGTTTCCCATTTAAGTCGCTCTCAAATTAACGTTGTATATGCTGCAGCAACTCGAATCTGTTTTCACTTAACAACGAAACGTTGCGAAATTTGGTGGTACAATAGACTAACAGCTTCCAACTGTCTGAGAGAACTCAGTGTTCATTGGCTCTAAATTAGGTTCTGGCCAATTGTAGCGGCCTGTTAAAGAGATGGTTTCTTCGTTTCGTTAACTTAACCATGAAGGGACTGAAAACGAAAGCAGAAAAGAACCTTGGCGATATGGGTTTCTAATTAAATTGCAGAGGCTTTCTCCCTCCAAAAATTTGAAAATTCAAATGCGTTCTAATGACTTCCATCTGATATTCACTATGGTGGGTAGATGAAACTGTTGCATGGTGCAGCAACGTCCTAATTTGATGATGGTACAAATCCGCGTTTTAGTCGACAAAAGTACTCTCAAACGCTTTTAACGCTTTGGCAAGGAGCGGTAAGGTAATTTAAAAGATAAAAGTTTGCCAAGGCTTAAATTTGTCGTTCAGATATATGAAAAGTATGTTTAATTATAGGAAAATCCCTTAACTCATCATCCTCATCTTTTCATGAATTCACTTTTCAATTCGCTTTATGACTCATCAACTTGTATTGGTTCAAGTCCAACGTTGGTATGTGATTGCGGTATACACTCTTTCCCCGATCGAATAATTGCTCGGGCGCTTATTTAAAATTCATTTATACATTGGCAATATAAGCAGGTGTTTTTTGCATCCCTACTAATTTGTTTGATAAATTGTAGCGGCCTGTTAAAGGGATGGTTTCTTCTTCGCTAACTTAATCATAAAGGGACTGAAAAGGAAAACAGAATAAAACCTTGGCGATATGGGTTTCTAATTAAATTGCAGAGGCTTCCTCCCAATAGTTTGGGTCAAATATTTTCATTTATATTTGCATGCTTTTATTTCTTGTAACTCAACAACTCAACTTAGAAATCTATTTTCACTCAACAACAAAACGTTGCGCAAGTTGGTGGTACAATAGACTTTCAGCTTCCAACTGTCTGAGAGAACTCAGTGTTCATTGGCTGTGAATTAGGTTCTAGCCAATTGTAGTGGCCTGTTAAAGAGATGATGTTTTTTTTTTCGTTAACTTAATCATAAAGGGACCGAAAATGAAAACAGAATAAAACCTTGGCGATATGGGTTTCGAATAAAATTGCAGAGGCTTTCTCCCTCGAAAAATTTGAAAATTCAAATGCGTTCTAATGACTTCTATCAGATATTCATTATGGTGGGTAGATGAAACTGTTGCATGGCGCGTGATGTCCTAACTTGATGATGGCACAAATTTTGCCAAGGCTTAAATTTTCCGTTCAGACATTTAAAAGGAACGTTTAATTATAGCAAAATCCCTTAACTCATCATCTTCATCTTTTCACGAATTCAGTTTCCAATGCACTTTCTTACTCATCAACCTGCATTGGTGCAAGTCCAACGTTGGAGTGTAATTGTGGTATACACTATTTCCTCGAATAAGTGCTCGGGCGTTATTTAAAATTTATTAATATACTGGCAATACAAGCAGGTTTCTTTTTGCATCCCCACTAATTTGTTTGAGAAAGTGAGGTGGGAGGAGAGTGGGGGCACTTATTGGAGGGTGCGCGTATTTATCATTTTGGCCCTAGTGGTGGGCCACTATTTGGGTGAGGGCGCTTATTCGAGCGTGGGTGGTTATTAAAGGAAATACAGTGTTTATTTCGCTAACAACCATTAACAAGCATGCTTGTCTCCAAAGATTATGACAGAAAAATAGTTGTAGGGTAGGCAGCCATTAAGAACACACTACATTCCTGATATCATTCTAGCTTTTACCTTAAACCTGATGAAGAACACCCTGTTTCTTCCTGAAAGTCTCTCGTCACAAAAACAAAACAAACAAATAAAACAAAACAAAGAAGAAGACGCAGATATGCCTTAAATAACAACAATATCTAGACAGCGCATTTTAACAATGTTATTGTTCGAAGGAGTGTCTTCTCTGTCAGCTGTATATTTGAACATATTAAATTTACAATTTTTGCCAATTTCAATACCCTATCTTTAATAAGCTAGGTAATTTAAGTCTCTCGAGAGGAAAGTCGTCTGTATTTTTTTTTGAGAACAGGACGTCAGTAGCAGCTTAATGGAAAAAAAAGCCAACGATGAAACAAAAATGAAATAATCAAAAAGAAAAGAAAAGAAAGCAAACAAATCGTCCTCGGTAGTCGTGATCTAGGAAAGATATCTACGCGATATGAATCGAAAGCACACGTTTAAGAAGTTTACCTTCAATGCTGAACAGCGCCGAACTCTTCCGGCAAAGCTATGGGCTACGAATCCTGTGTTAAAATGCATTCTTATATAGGAGTTTTGTCTCATATACACAGCTCTTGGATCACAAGGTAAATTTTAGTATAACTCTTCGTAGGTTCTACACATCACCATTGATAAATCCACACTTTATTTTTAGTCGTTAATAACCCATTAAGATAGTATTTTCACAATTTGAAATTTTTCACATGTTTTAAAAGTTTGTTCGGATCTCAATCCGGAATCATCGGCAAGTTGTCGAATTAATTTGGTTCCCTTATTTATCGCTATTATCCTGTTTTCTTTGGTTTTCTTTCAACGAAGTTTATTTCAAACGATATTTACTGGTATAAAAAGCAAAGATGTAAAACTACGTTGACATCGTCTTCTGATAGATAGTCGCGTTTGGCATTTTCACGGCCAATGAAAGGACGTAGCAGTATATCAAAGGGACTGCAAAGCAGAATAAGTAAGTCTCTTCAGGAAAAAGAGAGGCCTTGAATTGACCAAGTTTTTAATAAAAAGGACTAAAATTACAAATTTAATCACAATTGCTTCGAGTTTTGAATAATTAGCGTCTGAACGCCAAGATGTCTGACCATCGACTATGTATTTTAGAAACAAGGCGAAAAAACGAAGTGGTAGAAAATTTACGCTGAAGTCGAACAACAAATAAAGTAACTCTCCGACTAAAAACTACCAGGCAACAAGTCTTCAATAGTTTTAGCTTTAGTGAGCAAGCTCTCTAGTCACCGATAACGATCTTTCGGAATGTGCAATTTTTTGTCAGTTCTGTATTATGTCATAAAATTTTAGGAAATATGTGGACACTTGTAATCATTCCAAATTAGAATAGTTGTAATGCGCACCTTTTTTGAAAAACCCATTAACGAAATGATCTTATGGGTTCCAGATCTTTTGTCTACTTTTGTCATGGTAAATAGCTCGGTTGGAAATGATTCATTCTAGAATACTACATGTTACAAAATAACTGAGCAAGCAACCTATTGTCGTTTGTAATATAACTCATAGAATAGACCACACTTTCTATCGTTTTACCGGCTTTACGGACTCTTCTCGAGAGACCCACCTGAAACAAATTTTCGGTTTTAAAAGGGAAGTAGAATAACTAGCTGTATTGAAAAAGTTCGAGATACAATGTTTTCTATTTTGACTAACTTTTTCAAAAACACGATAAGATGATACATAATTCGCCTTTGTCACGGTATCGCCATCTTGAAAATGACGTAATGCTTTTTGGCATGAAAACGAGGTCACGCGTGGTTCTTGACACACTGAACACTCGAGCGATCATGCGGAACAAAGATCACTGTTGTGTTCCTAAGTGCAATAACAATAGATCAAAAGTGCAGTCTAATATAACCTTTCATCAATTCCCGAAAGACAAAGACTTAAGAAGACAGTGGATTATAAAAATTAAGCGTGATGTCGGCCGGTCCTTCAAGGTAAATGGCCTTTTTATATATCATAGTTCAGTTTAGCGTCGTTTCAGCGTTGTTTATATAGCAAACCTTATATTTTTTCCGATATCTTTCAGATAACCAACAGTACAAGAGTTTGCTCTGATCATTTTAAACCCACAGATATAAAAAAAACGCTAACAGGAAAAAGTGTACTCGTTAATGGTGCTGTACCATCCGTTTTTGAATGGACAACTTTATCAAAGAAACGAAAGTCACCAACGAAACGCGAATGCACAACACGTACTAACACAACCGAGATTGATGTCGTGGATAATATACAGCCAATCTCCTCTACAGGTATTTATTTTTTATGAAATCGTACTTTAGGCCCGCCCTAAATATTTCTAAACATGTTATTTTCTACATTCCCACAGTCGAAATTGGGCCCATCGAAGATTCAAGCGTAGACGAAAATGTCATCGATACTAGCAGCCACATGGAGGACTCCACCGTAACTACTGACACCACAATCATAACACCTACTGTCAACCTACATGATTATTTATTTACTGAACCCGAAAAGCCTGTAGAAGAGCTACTTGAGGCAGCGCAAGCTCGTATCGAACAATTAGAACAGCTGCTTTCAAAACAATCTTTTTACAGACAACTGAAAGGGATGTCAGACAAACGCGTTAGATTCCATACTGGCTTTTCGTCATTTGCTATTTTTGTGAGTACCTTCAATGCCCTTAGACCCACAGCTGAAAGTATGTTTTCATGGTCCCAAGTACAGAGAGCACGAGCAAAAAGTGGGAAAGATATAAGTAACATGAGAGACACTCTCAAGACATGCAAACTTAGCTTATTTGATCAGTTTTATTTATGCATTACTAAGCTGAGGCTGGGTACTTTTAATGAGAAACTAGCCAGTGAATTTGATATTTCTATTTCAACTGTGAGTAGAGTTTTTATTTCTTGGGTTAACTTTCTCTTTTTTTTTTGGGAACCATTCCTATGATCGGTAGGTTCTTCTCAGCAAAATCCTCAACAAAAGAGTTTGTAACTTTGGGTATTTTTGTTATATTTTTGTGCCAAAATTCGAGTTCAACGCTATCGCTACTAGTCGCCATTTTGTTTGTGAACTTACCACGCGTGGCCTCGACCTCATGTACAATATTCAATGACGTAATCCAAGATGGCGGGCCGTGACAAAGGCGAATCAGTTTTGTCGGTCAAGTTCACGACCACATATTCCTCATCATTTTAAATGGCCATCGTCGATCTTCCAGGTCGCGGAAAACGTTTGCCATGAGATCATAAGGGGCTTCTTCCATTGTAAAATTCGAAAAAGTGAAGGGGTCATCTTCTCTCCCTTTGTTCAAAAGATTCTGATGGGTTCTCGAGAACCGGAAGTAAGTTAGATCGCTCCATTTTCGGAGGCTGAACCAGAACCCTGAACGCCTTCTCTCTCTTGGATACATTGTTCGTGGTGTTCCGTCAATTTATCAGATGGACACATTTCGTCACAGATTTCACAAAGCAGAGAAACAATGCTGTTGTCTTCACTTTCGGTTTCGATATTGTCATGCGTTCGTACCATTTCACGAAACACACACTCGATATCTTCTACATCAAGAGGGATTTGAGAATCTTCTGTTTCCTGCAGACGCTGAGCTGGCATTCATGTCGATGAGCATCAAGTTCATCAAGCCATAAATGATCATTTAACAATTAAACTTCTTTTCATTGTCGGTCATTCCAAGTCTTCTAATGTTAATATATTAGTTATATTCCTTTTTCAAATACACACGAGGCTTGGATTGCTTTGTGAAATAAAATGTATCGTTCTTCTTGTAAACCGATTAAATTTCTCTCTTCTGAACCCATCTAAAGCAAATGCTGAAATTTTCCTACAATAAGAGTTGTTTATTTTAGACCATTGCAAGGGTAAACTTCCTCAGTCGTCTGCATGAAAGTTGAATTTGGCACCCTCATTGACCTCTTTACTTTTTCGTTCATCCGGTTGCTTGTGCTTTAACAAAAGCGGCCCGCCTCGCAAGATATAATTACGAAAAACAATAAATCATATTTCGGGTAAAAACCAGCGTAGTTGACCTCACTCCAAGTCTAGTTGGCATCAAACTCATAAATGCAGGGAACCTGAGAAACATTCACGCCCAGAACTAATCAGTAAAAGTCCGTGACTCTGCCTGAAGTAAAACTTGAATTAATGTTGAACCTCCACCCACACAGTTCCAGAAGCTGAAAGTGACAGCGATAGCGATCAGTCTTGCATATCAATACAGTGTATTTGTATTCCAAACAAGTACTGTTATGCTTGAACACAATTTAACCTCTAGCCTCCTTAACGTCAATAGCTACGCAGCTTGCGGTTTTTTCGGGCTTGATGAAATTGGACCGATGCCAGGCCTCCCACCGCTCTGCCTTTTACGGGTCTTCTACGCTCCAGAGCGCACACAAACTGTTATCAGCTACGCAGGCTACCATCAACCATGCAGGTTAATGCTGATATACAGTTTTGACATCATTCGTTCTATCATGCTACTCCTGTAGCTAGTTTTTGGCTGTACTTGCAAAACTACTAATCTGTTTCTCCCGATGATGTTTCCCATTCCGTTTTGAGGTTAAGTAGAACGGCCTATAAGAACAGTATCAGGAATCTTTACTACCATTTAAGGTAATCTCATGGGTCTTATCTCCTGAAGAACGGACGGTAGGAAACCGCAGGAGGTGATCATTTTTAGAATTAGGAATGTTCAGTTAACAAATAGAGAAGCCTTGACTGTGCTCTGTTCTATTATAAAGCACGCAGGAAGCGGCTAGAGCACGAAAGAAGTGTAGGGAGAAACACGAGACGTAGTCGAGTGTTTCTCTCCACTTCTTGAGTGCTCTAGCCGCTTCCTAAGTGCTTTATAACAGAACAGAGCACAGTCAAGGCTTCTCTATTTGTTTATAATAAAGAATCCGTCAAATTCCCGAAGCATTACTTTCAATTTTCAAAGCAAACTTTATTTCCAAAGCGAACAACAAAGTCGTCAGCATGCTCTATACTCTCATAGAGCACGCCACAATAAGCCAATCAGAATCCTTGTTAGAATGGTTCAAATAATCTGATTGGCTCTACAAGACAAAAGCTGTCAAACCATCAAAGTTCAAAAGCCATCAAAGTTCAAAAGCCATCAAAGTTCAAAAGCCATCAAAGTTCACAATCTGCGATAGCTTACAAACTAAAATAGTTCGGCAGGTCGATTTTAACGCTTTCCCCTGAAGTTTTTAATTCAGAATCTTCAAGTGAAATGTTCAGTGAACTTCAGCCGAATTATGGCTCATAAAAACACGCGGGTTTTTTCGCATGACAAGGTAGAAAACAAACTGTTCAAGGCGAGTAATTTAGTGTTAACAACTGGGTTGAAAACGTAAATTAGCCACCGTAAAGGATAAAAAAGCTGACGTTTCGAGCGTTAGCCCTTCGTCAGAGCGATTAGAGGAATTGTGGGTTGTGTGTGGATTTATATGTAGGAAGTGGAGCTACGCCATTGGTGGGAATGTGGTGACGAGAAAACAGGAATAAATTAGTTGAATGAAAAGCGCTCGTTGATTCCGTGGGGATTAAGGGTGCCGATTTGGAATATAAATTTTTGTTCTAGTGTTTTACGGCTTTCCGAACTGCCTAGATGTAAGGAAAGGCCGCAAACTGCCATATGCTGTTTAGAATGATAAGGAAGATTAAAGTGTCTAGCGACTGGTTTGGATGCGTCCTTGTCATTTCTTTCCACATCGCGAAGGTGTTCTCGGAATCGGTCACCCAGTCGTCTCCCTGTTTCGCCGATGTATAACTTATTGCAATAAGTGCAAGTTATGCAGTAAATAACATTGGCGGAGGTACACGTAAAGTGATCAATGATCTTAATGGATCTTTTGGGTCCCGATATTTTCTCTATGTTGTGAATGAAAGGACAAGTTTTGCATCGTGAGCGAGCGCATTTAAAAGTTCCAGATTGGTCATAGGTTTGAAATGAACTCGCACTGTTAAGGAACCTAGCTCTCTGAAACACTGCTCCGTCTGGCCGAACTAGTACTCACACTCAATTGTTTTTCATTCGGTGGTAACTACTACAAACAAACTAATGGTGTGGCCATGGGTACTAAAATGGGACCCAGCTACGCCAATCTTTTTGTAGGTTTTATCGAACACCAATTTTTTAGCCAATACCACGGCCCAAAACCTCAACTCTACGGCCGCTACATTGACGATTGCATCGGCGCTACCTCCTCTACCAAGGAGGAGCTCACTCAATTTATAACCGCCGTCAATTCCTTTCATCCGGCCCTTAAATATACCTGGCAAATTTCCGACACTTCTTTGGCTTTTCTAGACATCCAAATTTCTATTGAAGGCAACGGCTTATGCACTAGTGTTTACTACAAACCTACAGATTCACATAGTTACTTGTTGTATTCATCCTCACATCCATCACACGTCAAGAACTCCATACCTTTTTCACAGTTTCTCAGACTTCGTCGTTTATGTAGTGACGACTCTGATTTTTCCGAAAAATCAGAGACAATGTGCCAGTTTTTCGATAAACGCGGTTATCCTGTTTCTGTCGTTCAAGCGGGCTACCACCGTGCCCAACTAATCGATCGACAGGCAGCACTACAAACGGCCGAGAAGGAGAACACTGACCGCATTCCATTTACTCTTACATTTCACCCTCACAACCACGCAGTTAGATCTATCATTCTTAAAAATTTTAAATTACTCCAAAACGATTCAGAGACTGGCACTATCTTTTCGCAACCCCCACTTATTTCATTCAAACGCGACAAAAACATAGGCAACTTTTTAGTCAGGAGTTCATTTCAAACCTATGACCAATCTGGAACTTTTAAATGCGCTCGCTCACGATGCAAAACTTGTCCTTTCATTCACAACATAGAGAAAATATCGGGACCCAAAAGATCCATTAAGATCATTGATCACTTTACGTGTACCTCCGCCAATGTTATTTACTGCATAACTTGCACTTATTGCAATAAGTTATACATCGGCGAAACAGGGAGACGACTGGGTGACCGATTCCGAGAACACCTTCGCGATGTGGAAAGAAATGACAAGGACGCATCCAAACCAGTCGCTAGACACTTTAATCTTCCTTATCATTCTAAACAGCATATGGCAGTTTGCGGCCTTTCCTTACATCTAGGCAGTTCGGAAAGCCGTAAAACACTAGAACAAAAATTTATATTCCAAATCGGCACCCTTAATCCCCACGGAATCAACGAGCGCTTTTCATTCAACTAATTTATTCCTGTTTTCTCGTCACCACATTCCCACCAATGGCGTAGCTCCACTTCCTACATATAAATCCACACACAACCCACAATTCCTCTAATCGCTCTGACGAAGGGCTAACGCTCGAAACGTCAGCTTTTTTATCCTTTACGGTGGCTAATTTACGTTTTCAACCCAGTTGTTAACACTAAATTACCTGCTATACTCTCCCACCGACGCAACACCACAGTTTCTTTAGAAACTTACCCCTTTGTTCAAGGCGAGTGTTTTTTAAATGAACGACAGCCGAATTCACCGGAACATGAAGATCGCTCGGGATGACAGCGCCGCAAAACTCGGCTGCAGTGACTGAAGTGACTTTCCACTCAACTTATCGGAAAGGATATCAGAGCGAGCTCTTATTTTTTCATTCGAAGGCCGGCCGATGTAGTTTCTGAGGCTTGCTTTACTGTAATGACCGGAGATCGGCATGATAAGTGAGCCGCGATGGACTTCAGCATGATCATATTTGCTCAGACACCGTCATGATTAGTATGAATTTTAACAGATATGCCAGTTTGATTATATTTTTCATCATTTCTGTTTTGTTCTGTTTTGTTTTTGAA